ACAATGAATCTAATTTTCATTTTTAACTTTTGTTGATTTTTGACCTTTCCTTTAGCACCACCATTTAGACAATTTCTGGCAAATCTTTTCAAAAATTTCATAAAATGTGCAACATTATGGTGTGCAGAGAATCAACAGTAGTGGCTGTGTTATGAACACTTTTCCATCAAGTCTCAACAATAGGATGCTATGTAGATATCCCGTGATTTAATTCTTTTAGTACCACCATCAGGTTTTCAATAATAATCTTAACAGCCTGCCATAAAGTATAAGGTATTGTGTTGACAAGAGAAATACAGAATTATATATTCTTTTTGCAAAAAAAGATGGAAATGGCTGTGGTGAACCCATACTCAAAAAGAGGGAGGAACACAGGGTAACTTAAAAGAATGGATGAATGTGCACAAAGGTAGACTATCTTATGCAGAAGGTGCAATCTGAAAGAGACTGTAAGACAACCTAGACAGAATGTCGCAGGGCAGCATCGTAGGATGACTTTGACAATCAAGAAAAGGAAGTGAGTCAAGACAGAGGCGAGGATTAAATGGTGGAAATTAAAGAAGGAAGAATGTTGAAAAAGTCTTTAAGTGATAGGCGAGAGTCACCAGTAAGCATACCATTTTTTGAGGTTTCAGAACTTGAGCAGACCAATTCTTCCAAACTGTTGCACTCAGACTGTGGAATGCACTGCCTCTATTTCTGCAGAGTTTGGACTCTGTGGAAACTTTTAAAAAGCAGCTAAAGAGTTTTATTTATATAGTGCCAAATCACAACAACAGTTGCCTCAAAGCCCTTAGAGGATGTTGAGCCCTCAGACCACCCTGGTGATCAAATGCTAAACTTGAGTTGGAATCGAGTGTGGGAAATTGTTTGGAGCTGTCTTTATAATACTGGACATTTTTCATCATATCATTGTAAATATATACATCATCTTGAGTTTGACATTCTTAAAAAAATATATAAGTAGCTGCTGCAGTGAGTTTCCTGGCTGAAAGGCTCTTACCTGAGAGTCCTGTAACCAAACCAAAATATATTTTGCTGTCATTTACTTTAGTGCCAGTTGCCAAACAATGGACTGCTACCAAAATTATACTTCTCATTTTGAAAGAGCCACAGCTTCAC